GAATGTGTATTTTTTGTTTGTAATTTCACAGTTGTAATACCATAACGTGAAAGCACCGCTTTTCTATCGCGAATGTGCCGAATCTGCTGATGTAATTACAACCGCTAATGATAGAGAAGGGGAGGGGGAGGCCGGGGGAGAGCTGAGCTCTCGTGCCCATAGACATAATACATTTATTATGTCTATGCTCGTGCCTTCGTTGGTAAAAAAAAAAAGAGCCAATCAGCATCGAGTGTTCACTTTCAGCGCTGAGGAGTGTTGAGAAAAGAAACCTCGTAGAGGAGGCTAGCCTCCCTTCTGATATCAACCAATCATCACAGAGACGTAAATTACCTGATATTAGTTTGAACGTCTCCCGCTGCGCTGATAATGTACCAAGTACTTATGATGAGTAGTGATATTGAATATTTGATTGCCATCAGATTTACCAAGCTGTCATTCAAACAGTATATATACAAATTTACAAATATACAAATTTAAAAAAGGGAAAACTAAGCTGGATATAGGCTACAGCAGTCGGCTTAATTAAATGGCACAACAGGTGGCTCTCTTTTAACACAGACTTTTAAGAAGGGATGGATGTTTGCTTCAAGTGATAGGCCATGTAAGGGAAATTATATTATTATATATAATATCTTTTCAGGAAATTATATCTTGCTGTATGTATAGTATGTCATTTTCTGACTAAAAGCAACCAAAAAGCCATTTTAAAGTGGTTAAGCAAATAATAATAATAATAATCAGCAGGGATCCCAGACCAATACAATTAGTGTGCCTCCTCTACTTTAAAACCCGCGAGCCGCCACTGGTAGATATAAAGCAGTGGTTAATTTGATGAGAAGTTTGGATACAAACTCATTTTATATGTTTTAATATTAATTTAAAATTTACTTTGATATTGTTTGGAACATGTACAAAATGGCATAAAATGTTAAGAATTAAAAAAGTATTTGAAAAACTTGATGACACAAATATAATTTGTGATAATTGTTAAAAATAAAACACCCTTTTGAAAATAATGATTAAAATGTGTAGAGAAGTGTAAAAAATTTTTTTATGTATGTTGTGTACACCACATGACATTTTTAGAGGCATTACATTTAAAGTAATCTGGCATAACATTTTATTATTTCTTTCTTTCATTCGTTCTTTCTTTCTTTTGTTCTAAGCTCTAAAATCATATAAATATTCGAAAAATGATTGCTTGCCTAATCAAACTCATGTGGTGAAAAATAAAACAGAAAATTATATATTGGGAGAAATATATATATATATATATATATTAAACATACATATACTATGTATCATGGTCAATAATAATTATGTATTCATTTAGTTAATTCACGATTTGTTTAAAAAAATAAGAATAAAAAAAAAATGTTTTTGAAAATAATAATTAAGTTGTGCAAGGAAGATATGTTGTGCATGACAGATTTTTAGAAGCATTAAATTTAAACTTTTGTTGAAAATGTTTTATTTTTTTTTGTAGGGCAAATTACTTTTTTAATACTTTGGTTCAAGACTTTATTCAAATAGTAATAGTTGTGCTGGCTTAGAAATACTTCTTAAAAAAGAAAAGAAACATAATTGTATTAATTTGCCCAAGTGTCAACAAAACACACTTGCCTCTAACTTGTGTTAAATGACACCTGATGTCAATCATGTTCAGAAACATTGAGCAACAGAGATGAACAGACAGTCTGCGGGCAGAGCTCCTCGGCAGACTCTTATTAACCTCATTACATCAACATCAAATCCTCAAGAGAAAGAAGAACTTCTATAGGAAGGCATGCCGCTGCCAGAAACAAGCTGCAATGGAATTCAAATGTGGTTGCTGGTCTTTTAATTTCCTTGAAGTGAAGTCTGTAAGATGGTCAAGAGTATTTTGCTGACAGTGCCACACTAAACTTCTACTTAACTCCTAAAAATAGCTTCCCTTTGCCACAAGCACGCTCCTGGACCATAATTCTGTGGTCGGATATTATAATGTCATGATGAGATGCACTACGCTACCATTACATTTCTCATTTTGGTCATGATTGTCCCATGGGATTCTAATCTCCTCACTCCACCCAGTGTTTGATGGACTTTCCTCCGTTCCCGTCTGTATCTGCTGACTGGCACTCAGACGTCCAGTATTACGGATAAGCAATAGCTAATTCCACTGTGTGCTCCACACACAGCCCAGGAGGGGCTCGAGCTTTCCAAAGGAAATGTAGGGTTTCTTGTCCTTTCTATGGGCTGGTCAGATTCAAGGTTTTTGCTGGAGGTTTGGAGATAGCTGTGAATTCTGTGGTGAGACGAGCATGTCCTCAAACCAAGAGCCTTTAACATCCATGGGATGTTTCCGTTGATCCAAAGATTCTTTATAGTGGACAAAGGTTCTTTAGAATTTAAAAAATTCTTCACAGTAACTGAACACGTTCTTTGGTAAATCAAAAATGGTTCTTTTGTAGCATTGCTGTGAAAAACCCCTTTTAGAACCTTCATTTTTAAGAGAGTTTTATACAAATAATATTGTAATGTAGACTGAATATTAGCACAGCTGTGATTTGGCTGTAGACTGGTGGCTACTCCGTAGTTCTGGGCGCTCATATAAATGTTTTCACGCCCTGTAGCATGATGATCATGAAGTAAGACACCTCAGCACCTTCCCCCAAGCAAGGGAATCGTCGAGTATGAGGTTGACTAATAATGCCAATCGAAAACATGCATATCTTGTTGCTTACAGAAATATGGCTGCTACGCCGGTCTCCTGGCCCATTCCCATGAGGGCTATCGGAGCTCAGAATCTGCTCACCATGCCGGGAGGGGTCACCACATCTGGATATCTGCACAAGAAAGGGGGCAGCCAGTTCAGCCTGATGAAATGTGAGTTTTGCACGGCTCACTGGAATCTATCAGACAACAGACAAAACATCAAATATACAGTGGGTATAGAAAAGAATCCCCCCCCTTTAAATAATCACATATTGTTGCTTTGCGGCCTGAAATGAAGACGGACACAGTTTTTGCTTTATCCAGCTGTATTTACTCAGTGTAACTTATAACATCCAAGTGAAAGCTGCAAAGCAACAAAATGTGAAGGTATTTACACATATATATCAACAAAATATGAAGGTGTTTAATGTATTTTAAAGGCTGGTGATTCTTTTTTATACCCACTGTACGTTAACATTAGCTAAAGAAAAAGAAAGATTACTGTCTATGATTTAAAGGGATACTTCACCCCCCAAAAAATGAAAATTGTCATTAACCCTGTTGTTCCAAACCAGTATGACTTTCTTCTGTAGAACATAAAAGAAGATATTTTGTAAAAATGTTTTTGGCACATACAATGAAAGTAAATGGGGTCCAGTGTTGTTTGGACCCAACTGGCTTTCATTGTGAGTGCAAACAGTTCCTAAAACGGAGACATTCTGTGCATAATTCTTGTTTGTTTTCAGTGCAAAACATAAATGCATGCAGGTTTGTAATGACATGATGGTGAATAAATAATGCCCTGAAATAATACCCTCAGAAATTATGACAGTAATGCATAACCAGAAGTTCATCCATGTAGAAAAGTAGTTCTAACTCACAGGACAGTTTATACAGCTTTATAAATCATTGTTAACCAGTAGCTAAATAGTTGTTAAGCATAACTGTAGGCTAATGTTTTATGTAATGCAATATTTCTAAAAAAATATTACCAGTAATTTACTGCTGGTTAAGGTTACTCCGGAAATGCTGTTTCGTGTTGTGTGGAATATTCTGTGCAATTTACTGTAAGGTTCAGTTTGTTAACATTAGATATGCATTAGGTGTCATAAATGATCAATGGAAAATACCACTTTGGTAACACTTTATAATAATGTTCCATTAGTTGCCATTGGTTAATACATTAACTAACAACGAACAATACATTTGTTACAGTCTTTATTAATCTCTATTAAGGTGAGTTAATAAAAATACAACTGTTAGTTCATTTTGGCTCAGGTCCATTAAATTATATTAAAATACAGCTTTTGATTTTAATACAGTATTAGTAAATGTTGAAATTAACATCAACTATGATCAATAGATAGTGCATTTTAACTAATGGAAACAAATGGAACCAAAGTGTTGTAAATTTCTGTCCTTTTTTACATATACTAAAACATTTCAGGTTGTATACATTAATATTACATTTAGATCAATAAATGCTGTTCATTGTTCATAATGCTTAATGCATTAACAAATATTAACAAATTGAACCTTACAGTGAGGTGCTACAGAATATTCCTTTTTAAGAACGGGACACTGAACAATTATAAACCCTTGCTTATGTGCTGAAATTATTGTGCTTTTTAATGTGGCTTGGAAAGACATATATTGAGTTTCTGCCGATTTCGCAGGGCCTCTTCGCTTCATCATAATCCACAAAGGCTGCATCTACTATTTCAAGAGCAGTACTTCTGCCGCACCTCAAGGAGCGTTTTCACTCAATGGCTACAACAGGTTGGTTATTAGCTGCTTATTTCCATTGCTTACTTTCACTGGTTATCTTTATAACACTGCATTTGTTCATATGACGCTCTGATGCATCTGTGATAAGCCAGGCAGAGAAAGTTTCAGTGGCCCACTTCTCCGTACTCAATTTTGCAATCTGTCTGTTAAGTTACCAGTGGCCATCTCGGCACATTCGCAGGCCACATCCTGTCCACAGCTGTGTGTTCTTCATGCGGCCTTTTTTAAGTGCAAGAGTTTCGATTCTGCACCGAACTGGCCTTCATATGTGTTTCCTGTACATGCAAATGCAACGACTGCGTGTCTGTCGTATGTTCGGTCTAATGTCATACTTTCCATGAAGTTAAAGTGATGGAAAGTGTTTAGATTCCTGCCGTAGGTCTTCCTCAGCAGGTTCACCGCACCATATGGGGAATGTGTAATTATCGTGCATGACTTTTTCCTGCTGCGGTTGGGTAAAAATAGCCCTCTGAATTAATACAGCAGAGCACAGGGAGTTCTCACAGACACGGACACTTTAGCCATGTGTTTGACACTCAGGAAAACTATTGCTTAAAGTCCATTTAAAAAACTGTTTACGGTAGGATTTGTTCAAATCATTAACCATAGATATAAATTATTAATAACAAAGGAAAACTGTAGTGATGGAAAGCATCTTTAAGTATCACATGAAGTTTGGGGATGGTACATTTTTTTATGTTTTTGATAGATGTCTCTTATGTTCATTAAGGCTGCATTTATTTGATAAAAATACAGTAAAACAGCAATATCATAACATATTATTACAATTTCAAACAACTGTTTTCTACTTCAATATATTTTAAAATATAATTTATTCCTGTGATCAAAGCGGAATTTTCAGCATCATTCCTCCAGTCTTCAGTGTCACATGATCTTTCAGATTTGATGCTCAAGAAACATTTTTTATTATAATAATTATTATTATCAATGTTGAGAACAGTTGTGGTGCTTCATATTTTTGTGGAAACTGTTATACATTTTTCTTTACTGTCACTTTTGATCAATTTAATGTATCCTTTACTGAATAGAAGTATTAATTTCTTCAAAATAAATAAATAAATAAATCGTGTGCATTTAAATATATGTATATATATATATAAATATAAAGACCCCTAACTTTTGAGTAGCAGTGTGCATTTAAATGAATATATATTTTAATGACCATTGCTTTTATTGCTTGGCAGAGTCTTACGCGCAGCAGAGGAAACAACATCCAGCAACGTTTTTCCTTTTAAGATCGTCCACTTCAGTAAGAGACACCGAACGTGGTATTTCTCAGCAGCGAGTGAGGATGAGAGAAAGGTGAGATCACGCTGTAGGCATGTCAAATAGCATCGCACAACTACGAACTGTTTTTAAGGATTGATGTTTTTTTTTTTTATCTCTTATAGAAATGGATGCGGAACTTAAGAAAAGAAATCGGCTATTATAATGATAAAAGAGATCTGCCTCTTCCAAGGTAAAACCTACTGTCTGCTCACATTAAATCAACGTCACTGATAAGTGCATGTTGTACTTATAACACATATTTTCATTTGTGCTTTTAAAACCACTAATGATGCATGAACTGTATTTATATTATTCTTACACAATAGGGTTTTTACCTTCACATCTTATCTTCGATTTCTTAGGAATTTCTTTTACAGCTGTAACCTCTTCCTCTTTCTTAACCTCTTCCTCTTCACTGCTTGTTAATGCAATTCTTCACTGGCATTTTAACTGCGTCTTCTGAGTCACCTTTCTCTCAAATTTCTTGTTTAAATAGTGATGATTTAGATTCGGAGAGTATATATGGGCAGTTAGAGGAGCCGCTGGACATCAGTCCTGTTGAAGAAGATCCTGAAGCAGGTAAACATTTTTACAAATTTCATATTTAATAGTTTCCTTTCATGTAACAAAGTATATGTCTAAAACTGTTTAAACTATTAGTAACACTTTACAATAAAGTCTTGTTTCTTAATATTATCTAAATAAATGAGTTAACATGAACTTACATTTATTAATACATATTATTACAATTTCAAACAACTGTTTTCTACTTCAATATATTTTAAAATATAATTTATTCCTGTGATCAAAGCGGAATTTTCAGCATCATTCCTCCAGTCTTCAGTGTCACATGATCTTTCAGATTTGATGCTCAAGAAACATTTTTTATTATAATTATTATTATTATCAATGTTGAGAACAGTTGTGGTGCTTCATATTTTTGTGGAAACTGTTATACATTTTTCTTTACTGTCACTTTTGATCAATTTAATGTATCCTTTACTGAATAGAAGTATTCATTTCTTCAAAATAAATAAATAAATAAATCGTGTGCATTTAAATATATGTATATATATATAAATATAAAGACCCCTAACTTTTGAGTAGCAGTGTGCATTTAAATGAATATATATTTTAATGACCATTGCTTTTATTGCTTGGCAGAGTCTTACGCGCAGCAGAGGAAACAACATCCAGCAACGTTTTTCCTTTTAAGATCGTCCACTTCAGTAAGAGACACCGAACGTGGTATTTCTCAGCAGCGAGTGAGGATGAGAGAAAGGTGAGATCACGCTGTAGGCATGTCAAATAGCATCGCACAACTACGAACTGTTTTTAAGGATTGATGTTTTTTTTTTTTATCTCTTATAGAAATGGATGCGGAACTTAAGAAAAGAAATCGGCTATTATAATGATAAAAGAGATCTGCCTCTTCCAAGGTAAAACCTACTGTCTGCTCACATTAAATCAACGTCACTGATAAGTGCATGTTGTACTTATAACACATATTTTCATTTGTGCTTTTAAAACCACTAATGATGCATGAACTGTATTTATATTATTCTTACACAATAGGGTTTTTACCTTCACATCTTATCTTTGATTTCTTAGGAATTTCTTTTACAGCTGTAACCTCTTCCTCTTTCTTAACCTCTTCCTCTTCACTGCTTGTTAATGCAATTCTTCACTGGCATTTTTAACTGCGTCTTCTGAGTCACCTTTCTCTCAAATTTCTTGTTTAAATAGTGATGATTTAGATTCGGAGAGTATATATGGGCAGTTAGAGGAGCCGCTGGACATCAGTCCTGTTGAAGAAGATCCTGAAGCAGGTAAACATTTTTACAAATTTCATATTTAATAGTTTCCTTTCATGTAACAAAGTATATGTCTAAAACTGTTTAAACTATTAGTAACACTTTACAATAAAGTCTTGTTTCTTAATATTATCTAAATAAATGAGTTAACATGAACTTACATTTATTAATCTTAATGTTAAGGTAAACATTTACTAATACATTTAATACTGTGAACTAGCATGAACAAACAATGTATCACAGTAGTTAATGTTGATGTTAGTTAATAATACAACTGTTTATTGTTAGTTCATGTTAGCCAGTTCATTAAATAATATTAACAGATACAACGTTTGATTTTAATAATGTATTAGTAAAATTAACAATGCTAATACTAAATGCTCATCTTTAACTAATATAGTTATCTAATGTTAACAAATGGGACCTTATTGCAAAGTACTACCAGTTAGATTAATAATTGCTGTAAAAAGTTGTTGATGCAACTGTAATTTAATTCACTTACATTAATAAAGGAAATGAAATGCTGTAAAGAGTATTGCTCAGTGTTAGTCCATGTTAGCTAATGCATATCCTATAATGAAATGTTAGCTAGTTCATTATTGCAGTGTTACCAAAATATTATTATTATATCAATTATTATATCATTCCAAAAAAAAAAACGGTTTATATTTATTTTACTAAATACTTTTACTCTGTAAATAAATCAATTGCAAAAAAATAAATGCAATTAAAAATTGTGCTTAATTTATGTGCATTGTGCGTGACTTAACTTGTGTATTTTCATTTAGATTATATGATATATGATGAAGACAGCGATGGAGACGATGGATCGCCAGTGTCAGCAGGTAGATGCTTGATTTTCTGTCATTCCTTCACTCTCAGAAAAAAAACGGACGAAGCTGTCACAGAGCTAAAAGGTACAAAAGTTGACATATTTGTTAGGGATGTTTCACTCAACTCACGATTCGGTTCGATTCACGATTTTGATTTCACGATTCGATTCACAATTATTATTTTTTTACAAAATGAGATTTAAGACAAATTATAAATTAAACGTGTCCTTTTATGATTGCTTGGACAAAATGCTGCACGTTTCCTTGTGAAATTGAAATCTAACACTATAATAATATATTAATATAGCACTTGCATATTATTGCTCTTTTGTTGGTTTTGATTGCTTCTATTCTCCTCATTTTTAAGTTGTTTTGGATAAAAGCGTCTCCTAAATAACAAAATGTAAATATAATGTAAATGTAAATAACAAAACTACATTGAAATTTTAAAACAATCCCCAAATCAAATAAATAAGTAACACAAATAAAACAAATCTCGTCATATAAACAAACTAAGGCTTTGTCGGTGCTCTTTCCTTTTAAAATTAGAGGCAACCACTGCATTTTAATCATAATCCAAACAAAGATGCTGCATACATGCAACACGAGCAGTTTTTAATCTAAATTAGATTGTATAATTTCGAAATTTGAAGCAAAAACAGAATGGTTTGACTTCAGTTTTGTGAAACTATACATAAAACATATCTGCATGAAACCGAAACAGCAGACGAGCTGAACGAGACGCAGATGCACTCTCTGCCAGCAGGTGGCGCTTAAAGCGTTTCCGCTGTAAACAAAGCAGCGCTGCACTTATAAACTTTAATATGCATTATACAGAGGCAAGATGAAAATAAAAAATACCATCTAAACTATTCTAAAGACAGTAAGTTCCCCTCAGACATACATTCATATAAACTCCTACACCTAACTGAATCGCGATTTGTTTAGCATCTCAACCGATTTGAATCGTCACATATTTGAATCGATTTTCAACCGGCTCGCGGTTAATCGTTACATCCCAAATATTTGTACCTTTATTTACCCCTAAAAGGTAGCACCTCAAGGGAACATACCTTTTGAAAGGGTGATCGTTTTGAAGCCAGTGATAGTTTTGCACCTATATATTTTCTACGAGTGAATGGGCGGAAATTAGTGATTCGAGGCACCTTTGTAGTTGTATTCAGATTCGCTGAGAATATTTAGCACTTATAACCACACGGTGGAATGACTGTTTGATGTGTTTTTCCAGGTCGACCCACGGTTCCTCCTCCACCGTATCCTCCACCCCCTGTTCCTGTTCAACCGAGAGAAAGCCGTCTCACGAAGGGACCGCTGCCTCCGCTCCCCCCTCCATTCAAAAAACCGTCCTGTACAAGCAAAGGTCCTCCTCCGCCGCTGCCGTACGCCCCGCACCTAGAGAAACCAGACGTACACCTGTCAAACAGAGGCCCTGGTGGCCCCATGCCTCCTTTACCCCCTCCAAACAGCATGAAGTCCATGTCAGGCCCGTTTTCCACAATGCCTGTTTGCAAAAGGAAGCCGAATGCCTCTCTGATTGGGAATATGGCGGCTACTTTGCCCATCGTTGAGAACTTGCAGAAAGTGATTCTGAACTCGTCGAAACCATCCATTTCTAGCCAGCACCTGGGGGTGAAGCCCACAGCTGGACCCCGGCCCGTCTCGCCTCACCTGTCCGGCTCTGTCAGCAACAGATTGCTCGGCCAGATACCCAAGCCTCCATTACCATCCAAACCGAAACCCAACAGACCCTCCTTCCAGTAAGTGTCTTTCATTCTCCTCACTGAGATCTGTGTCTGGTTTGGTGTTGTGTTGAGTTGCACCGCAGAGACTTTTATGGCTATAAATGTATTTAGGGCTGCTGTTTAAAGGGTTAAATACGTTCATGCTCAGTCCTGTTATAAAAAAAGAATAACAACTGCATTCTTTAACTAGAATGACTTTTTACACACATATGTGAGAGAGTTAAACCACACATGTGGGAGGACCAAAGCAGCAGTGTCGAAGTTTAGAATAAAACTTCTTATATTACAAATGCTTAAAGAGTCTTATAATATACAGTGTTTGTGTTTGCATAAAGCATTACAAATATGTTTTTTAAAAATCAACGTCTTTGTGTTCATGTTGATTTCATAGGGTTTTGAAAAACGTTATTTGTTTTCAAGAAATGTAATAACTCTGAAAATGTCATGTGGTGTAACCAAATAAGAATTAGAATTAAACATTTCTTTACACCTTTGAATATATGTGATTTAATTAGCTTAATATTGAATGAATATTTTATATGATATTCTGTTGTAAAAAAAAGTATTTTTACAATTAAGTGAATGCATAAATACAGGTGCATCTCAATAAATTAGAATGTCGTGGAAAAGTTCATTTATTTCAGTAATTCAACTCAAATTGTGAAACTCGTGTATTAAATAAATTCAGTGCACACAGACTGAAGTAGTCAAGGAATTGGTGGGTTTTTGTTAAATGTGAGCCAAAATCACCACAATTAAAAGAACCAAAGACTTAAACTACTTCAGTCTGTGTGCATTGAATTTATTTAATACACGAGTTTCACAATTTGAGTTGAATTACTGAAATAAATGAACTTTTCCACGACACACTAATTTATTGAGAAGCACCTGTAGAACGTTTTTTCAAATTTAAAACCTGAGCTAACCTTGCCTTGTCATATTAATGTCATGAGAGGTCCTCTTTATCATCATATCATATCAATTTCCTTTATGTTTTTTCCTGCATGTATCTGCATGTTAGTAATACCACATGACTCAGATTTTTTAAATTAAAATTATTAATTAATTAATTTATTCAGTCATTCATTTATATATATTATAGTTAGTTTAATTATTTATTTATTTGTTGTTGTTGTTTACAATATAATTTATATATATATATTTTTTTTTTTTTTTTTTGAGAAATAATAATTAAAGTTTTGAATTAAAGAAATCGAATTTTAACATTTAGCTTGTTTGGATGTTGGTTAGACTCCAGGGGATTATTTATACAAATTGTCTGTGCCTTTTTCTCAGAAGAGCATCACCGGATGGACAGAGTTTTCGTTCTTCTATTGAAGAAAACCCTTTAAAAAAACGAGTGCCAGGCAAAATTGAAGACGACTCAGATGATGAGGACTATGAAAATGTAAGTTCGCCTCGTCTGTAATATTACTGACGTCGCTTGAGCTCAACTCAAGTTACTTCAGGAAAACGGCCATTTAACACACTGATATTGTTTTTCTTTATTTTTAATAAAGACATATTTTTACTTAAAAAGAAAAAACGTGTTGGTGCTCCAGCTGTAGCTGAAAAGCCTAGACGTTTCAGGAAGTGCTGTGTACATCTAAGTTTAAGTTTGAGCGTTTTAAGGAGTGATGTTAAACATCTTTATAAACTTTCCTCCGTCTATCGAAGCAGAAACCACGAGTCGCTTCCTCAATGTCTTGCTGAATCGAAATAGATTGTGGAGGATTTGGCATCATTTCTCAATCTATCTATTTTGTTTTGCTGTTGGAACATTTACCAAGATACGTTCTTTTTTAAACATAGGGTCACCTAACCTTTGACCTGGTTTTGTCATAACACTAATAATGCCTTTTGTCACATGTTTTTTTTTTCTGATCAGGTGAATTTGCCTCCCTCTGTCTTCGTGGACACAATGGAAACCAGTAATGTTGAAAGGTAAATAAAAAATATTTGAGTTTATTACATTCATTTTGTGAAGTTTGGCTACTCCAAGCAATTAATGGTTCGATGCGTCCTTTGTGAAACATACACATTGGGATACACACAATAAAGAACCTGAATCCTTTAGAACGGTGTTTGTTTGTTTCTTTGTCCAAAACAATATTTGAAGTCATATACAGTATATGAGCATGATAGTTGTATCTTTCTTTGTATTTCTGCTCTCTAGTGGAATGGAGTTGTAGTTGCACTGTTTTTGCTTGAGGGGGCAGATTTACTTGTGGTGGGGATCCAGCAGAACCACTGATCTAGTTCATCATTCTGTGTTCGATTGCATTGTTAATTGTGTCTTCACTTACTGATTACAGATTATTTAAGGATACATACACCTGCCCACCGAACGGTCTGTACTGCATCCGCAAATCAGGAACAGGAAAAACATCAAAGGTACAGACAACTCGATATGCATTTTCAGGGTTAATAAATACACATATATACATATATAGAGAGAGAGAATTTAATTCCAAAATATATTTATGATAAACAAAATATGTAATAATAATAATAAAAAATATTTAAAAATAATTATATATTTATATATAATTACAAAAGATATTTTTCAAATGTATCTGTGTGTTTATATGTGTTTACATGTGTTAAATTTTTTTGTTTCTCTATTTGACACAGGTGCTGGTTGTTTGGGACACGGGTTTAAACAAAGCCAGAAATTATAGGCTCTTTGATGAGGTCAGTATTTTACATGGACACTAAATCGACAGTTCATGTACTGTATGCTCTTAGTAATATTAACATCATTAGAGGCTTTTACAAAGGCAAGATTTGCTATTACTCACGGATTTGAACAAACCTCAAACTGATAGTATTGTAAATACTTGTCCGGCACTGCTACCGAATGTTGAGGAAATGCTACAGTAGCACCTTCGTTTGTCAGTACAGATCAAACTCATTCTCTTTTGCCCTCTTGTTTTTACATGTACAGGACCAGCGGGTGTATCTGGAGGCAGATCTGACCTTCCCCAGTTTATCTGTCCTGATTGAACACTATCACATCAACCCACTGCCCAGCAGTAGCAACTCAATGCCCAACTATTCCCTCTGTTTGCATATACCTTTCGGCTACGTCTCACCCAGGTGACATCGGCCCCCTGTCCCGTGCCGGTCCTGGACCAGACCACTGCTGACAGCACTATCTGCTGGTGAACGTCACCCATCACAGCTGAGAGCCCAGTCGACTGGTCACTAGTCTGATATACTGTGAATACCAATGGATAATAAATTAGTGCCAGTGAACTGTGTTCATTTATGTCCAGTGTTCAGAACATTCCAGCCGGCGCTACTTCTCTAAGTTTATGTCTCTGGCGATTCACAAAGGTGTGTGTTCCTCCGCAGACATGATTGAGACAGATTTCATATGCAACAGCGTGAGCACATTAAATTGAGGCTGTTAAATAAATGATTATAATGGAGCATGATTAAACATTAGCGTGATATGTTTTCTTAAGCAAATGGAAACTGAGCTGTAATAGCAGGACTTCCTGTAAAGAGCCTAAATGGGATGCCAAAAAAGTAATATAACACACTACCAGTCAAAAGTTGGGATGGATATTTGCTGTTTAATATATATATATATATATATATATATATAATAAAAATATTTTTGTAGAGACCATGCCACACTACTATTCAAAGGTTTGTGGTAAGTAACATTTAAAAAAAAAAAAAAAGAAGAAGAATAAGAAAGAAATTAATCATTTTATTCAGCAATGATGCATTAAATTGATCAAAATTGACATTAAAGATGTTTATAATGTTACACAGTGTTTCAATTTCAAATAAATGCTGTTTAATACATTTTTTATCAATTTTAAACTTTTTATTCATCAAAGAATACTGGGAAAAAGGTATTACGGTTTGCACAAAAATATGAAGCAGCACAATTGTTTTCAGCATTGATGATAATCAGAAATGTTTCTCGAGCAGCAGATCAGCATATCAGAATGATTTCTGAAGATCATGTGACACTGAAGACTGGAGGAATGATGCTGGAAATACAGCTGCGCATCACATGAATAAATTACATTTAACATACTGTATATTCACATAGAAAACATTTCCTTTAAATTTTATTAACAATTCACAATATTACAATTTTTCTGTATTTTTTTTACAAAATTAATGCTGACTTGCTGAGCAGAAGAGACTTCAAAAAACATTTAAAAATCGTAATAATTCCAAACTTTTGGCTTTTGGTAATGTATTCGCATTAAAGCTAACAGTGTTTTATAAGGCAAGATTTTTTTCATTTATTATTTAAAGAAAGTATTTTAGGATGAATTGACTAATTCAGATAACAAAATTGGTCAAAAGTGGTTAATCTCACCTCAGTTTTCACTACAAACAGTTGATATTTCCTTAGCAAGCACCACTAATCATAGTTATCACCACATCAGATAAAGAAAATATATTTCTCAAAGCGTTAATCAGACGTGAGGAGGTGAAGATGTAGCCAGAACAAATGAGAAGAGAAGACTCCAAGATGTCAGGATTGATGATTAATGAACAGGGTAAATAAAGTGCTTCTGTCTGGCTTCTGCGGGGAACATTGATTTGCTCTGAATAAGGGATCAATATGCATGAAAGAGTCCAGTGTGCGTTCTGATCTGGGAACAGAAGCCCTCCTGTTCATGTAATCCTGTTTTCAGAAAGAAAACCACCATGATCTTCGATCACTACTCTTCTCCTCAGATGTTTGATACACTGTCCCTCATGTCTTTATTCTGATCAAAGTGACCATATCCAGCAGAGTCAAATGAAGCAGAATATTTTAGATTTTATAAGTACTTTAAAGAATTCAGAATGAACCCAGCGGATTGATTTGAAAATTAAAGATTAAAGACAAAAAATGTATTTTCAAAAAGAGTGCATTAAATGAATCATTACTTCAATATTGGAAAATGTATGGTATTTTATGAGATTATTCACACACACACACACACACACACACACACACATATATATATATATACATAGCTGGGTAGTTACCGGGTAATACTACCCAACTGATTACATCTGGATTATGTAATCAGATTATAAAAATTAAATACTTGTAATTACATTTTAAAATACTTGTAATCAGGCTACAGTTACTTTTTTATTGATTACACGATCTCTCGCTCTCTCTTTTAAATCTTACTGACCTCAAACTTTTGTATATTTTTACAGGGCAGTAACAGAGATGTTCAAAGAAAATGTACTTTTTAGCAAGCAAGTAAATAAATAACTGCCATATATCAAAATTGAGGGAATGTTCCTGTGTTATGTGAAATGTCAGAATAACATTGGAACTTCAAACATCAGCTATGCTTAAACGTGGCAGATTATGAAGTAAAAACCAAGGCCCAACTTTAGAGAGAACCTGTCTTATACTGTAGTTTTCTGTGTGAGCCAACGTTTTTAGTCACATCTCCCATGTCATTATTCAAAAATGCAAGTGATTTTTTTTTCTGTTTTGTGCTTTATTTTCTATAATCAGTGACCTTCTTAAACAGTTAAAGGGGTCATATGATGCTGCTAAAAAGAACATTATTTTGTGTATTTGGTGTAATGAAATGTGTTTATGCGGTCTAAGGTTCAAAAACACATTATATTCCACATACTGTACCTTTCTGAAACGCATAAATTTTTACAAAGCTCATCTTTCTGAAAAGCGAGGTGTGCTGTGATTGGCCAGCTATCCAGTGCGTTGTGATTGGCTGAATACCTCAAGCGTGTGACGGAAATGTTACGCCCCTCACCATACTGTGATGATGCCCTGTCCAGCCGGAGCGACGAGACAAAAACATGTTGCATCCAGTGGGGACATAATTACGGATTATAATGACTTATACTGTCTTTTTACGCGTTGCGTTTCATCGTGCCGCATAAACATAAAACCATGTCTGCATTTGTGATCGGAGAAATGACCAGTGTTGGGGGTAACGCATTACAAGTAATGCAAGTTACGTAATCAGATTACTTTTTTCAAGTAACTAATAAAGTAACACATTACTTTTTTTATTTACTCTACACTGCTCAAAACTCGCGTTTGAATCGTCAGTGGCAAATCCTTTAAATATAAAAACGTACTTATAGTCTGTGAGTCAGAACAGCCGGCATTGTAGTCTACTCTCCCAGGATCAGGAA